TAAGGATCTTTCTCCTCTTACATTTTTGGTTGTGAGCCTAGCTGAGCCATCTCTCCAGGCTGATTGTGATCTTTTCGGATAAAAAAAAAATTATCATCAATGAGTCAGTTCCTTGGAACCTGAAGAGTTTCCTACATTTTGAAATTAATATCCACAAAATTTCAGTCCTTACTGATGCTTTTACTTCTCTCCTTTTTCTTTACAAGTAAAACTTTTCCAGCTATGTGGCTAGGATGGGGACATCTGAGGATTGATGGTAGAACCTAAGGGTGTGGTCTTCAGACTGCTGAGATGCACCATGTAAGATTAGCATCAAAATAAGATTCCTGTAGTTATGGCCTTCCCCCTGCGCCACACATCATGTGACACTTAATGAATGATAGACATGATAGCCTGAAAACTCAAAGATGGGACCACATTTTACCTCATTGTAAGTAATGAATTCTTCTTGGGGTCATCTATTTATAAGATAGTTTCAGTAGTTTGGTATGTCGGGACTTACCCATGACTTGCTAATTGGTGAACATAAATGTGTCTAAATTAATCAGTTCTACACAGGAGAAGGCAGACTTTTGACAGTTTTTACTGTCTATCTATATAATTACTTACATGAAGCTAGTTTAGAAACCCATCAGCCAAGGCGTCTTGATTGCAGTAAAAACGTTATTATTGGCACTCTCCAGTACAGGGAGATTGGACGAGACTGTTTCAACCTTTCCATGCACTTATAAAAGCAGCGACTCTCTGGCTGGTCATTGCCACAAGTCAAAAGACAGACAGAGGGCACCAGGGGTTACCAGAAGTCAGATAAGGAGTCAGGAAATTAGCCCACACCCCTGACCACATGGTGAAAGCAGAACTCTGCGTCGGTGTGAATGATGTATGCTACACAGCAATGTAAAGTAAGTATAAATGAGAAGGTGATCACCCAGACCACCTCAGAGGGTTGGCCGCAGTTCTCTCTCTTTCAATCCCATGTAAGGTTTTTTGCTCATTAATTTCTTTAAGATAGTTACAAAAGAACTTTTACTAATCAATATTTAATTATCAGTATTTTCTGCCTCAACTGTGCTCAGGGATACAGAGAACTGAGCATTTAATCAGGACGGGCTTGACTTCTGCCATTTCTTATTAGCAATGTAGCTTTTTTTTTTTTTAAATTAAACGGAGCACTTTGAGTTAGGCTTTCTTTCTTTTAAGATATAAATGATCTTTCCCTGAAGTACTTTTTCTTTAATTATTAATTTGCCAAGTATTTATTGGGAGTCTGTTCTATTTTAAACATCTTGGAGATCCAGACATGTTGAAGATCAGTTGGAAGCTAAGAACTTACTGTATGTGCCTGCATGTGCTCCACACCCTCCCCTTTGGTCCTGCTCCGCGCTTCTTTTACGATGCTTGGTTTTGCTCAGTGACTGAGGGACTCTGTCAGGCGTAGGAAGAAAATACCAGAACTTCTATTCTGATTTAATTTTTGCCTCTTTTGTAGATCACCTTATTTCAATGGTTTCAAATGTACAGAAAACTCCAAAGAAAGTGTTAAAATCCTTGTGTGTCTTTTACTGGATTTAGTAATTATTAAAAATTTCCCAAAATGTGCTTTGTTCTTCCTTAACCATGAGGGATTTCTTTTTTCTTGAATTGCCTAACATTCCTCATGTTTAGATGCAGCTTGTATGTTTTGGGTTGGGTAGGCAATAGCACAGACATGATGCATGGTCTTCCTAGGGCACGTGGTCCCCATTTGTCTCTGCAGTAGTGATGACAATGAAGTTGACTTGGTTAGAGTCTAAAGTCGCCACAGTGACCTCTCCACTCCTCTACCCTTGGCAGAATTTGTGGCAGAATTTGTGGTCCTCAGAATTTGTGGTCCTCAGAATTTGTGGTCCTCAGAATTTGTGGTCCTCAGAATTTGTGGTCCTCAGAATTTGTGGTCCTCAGAATTTGTGGTCCTCAGAATTTGTGGTCCTCAGAATTTGTGGCAGTATACTTTGCACACATGTAAATGTGTTGTTTCTCACCAGATTTTCTTTCACCCCCTTGTTTTAGCATCCAGTGTTATCTCATTACATAACCATATTGGGTATGCTTTATAAGACACAGAGTATAGTAACACATATATAATTCAGGAATTAATCTGATTTTGTGTCCAAAGTTTTCTGTGTGATTGTTTTGAACTAATATATATTATATATGATATAATAATTAATATATAAATAATGACTATATAATATATATAACTAACATATTAGTTCAAAACAGTCACACACAAAACTAATATATATTATATATAGTTATATATGTATAATTATATAAGAACTAATATAAATTAGATCTCTCTAATAACCTAGACTGGCCACAAGTTCCTCCCTCAGGCTGCCAAGGACCAGGATTATAGGCATCACAGCTAATGTTTAACTAATAGTCTTAAAACACTCAAATGGCTCAGGAGATCTAAATGAACAGGACAGTAATGTCATTTTCTATTTATGGATTATTGGAACATTACCGACAGGGTTTGTGATCATAAAAGTTTCCTTGCTCCTGTAGCCCTGCACTTATTTCCAATGTAAATGTGAATACTATTATTTTGTATGAATATATACTTTCCATTCTTCCGTGTGTCTTACGTAGTATCAGGTCAGTGTAAGAAGAAAGAAAGAAGACTTTTAGGAATAAAGTCCTTCCTGTACAGGGATCTATATCATGATCCAGTCAAGCACACATCAGGATTCTGTGCAGTCAGGGCATGTTTCTTGTTGCACTTTTCAAAGAGAATAGCATTTAGTTTTTTACACAGCACGCACGTTGTATTAGACATTGGAAATGATCTAGAGTTAAATATACAGGAAGACGTGTGCTCATTACGTAACAACACTGTGCTATTTTTTTTAATTTTTTATTAATTACACTTTATTCATTTTGTATCCCCCCATAAGCCCCTCCCTCCTCCCCTGCCGATCCCACCCTCCCTCCCCTTTCTGCATGCATGCCACTCCCCAAGTCCACTGATAGGGGAGGTTCTCCTCTTCTTTCTGATCTTAGTCTATCAGTTCTCATCAAAAGTGGCTGCATTATCCTCTACTGTGGCCTGATAAGGCTGCTCCCCCCCTCAGGGGGACGTGATCAAAGAGCAGGCCAATCAGATTATGTCAGAGGCAGTCCCTCTTCCCATTACTATGTAAACCACTTGGACACTGAACTGCCATGGGCTACACCTGTGCAGGGGTTCCAGGTCATCTCCACGAATAGTCCTTGGTTGGACTATGATTTTCTGGGAAGTTCCCTGTGTTCAAATTATCTTGTTCTGTATTTTATTTGAGCATGAGAAGACCTGTGGAGGTCCTGGATCTCATGCCTGATGGTGTGAAGGGACAGCTGTATACATGTGAGTGCTAGAGAAAGACATGGAAAATAATATCCTCAGCACCAAACCTAGGGCTTTGAGCTCATGGCTGGTAAGTGCTGTGCCACTGGACTTCATCTCCAACCCCTCCTGAAGACTTGTTAAACCCAGACTTAACAAACAAAAGAAGCTAAACACTGAGTTCCAAGGACAAAGATTCAATAAGAGACAAAGTAATTTTCCTCGAAGGACAGTAGGCAGGGCCTTAAAGTATACTGCGTTAGTAACTGATAGTCTTTTTATTCCTTTCTAAAGTAATAATTTTAATAACTTGTTGCACCTTGTTTTACATGATATTTGCTTTCTCAGAGGCAGAAATGCATTGCTGTTTTGACTTTTAAGCAGACAATGCTTAATTTGCTGCCCTTAAGGAAAATAAAATCACAGGCCAGTGAGATGCTGTAGCAGGTATAAGGACTTACCACACAAGCCAGACCACCTTACTATATCCCCAAATTTCATAGTGGAAGAAGAGAGCTGATTCCACTTCAGGCTGGCACGTGCCCATCTGTACGTACACACACACACACACACACACACACACACACACACACACACACACACGCGCGCGCGCGCGCGCGCGCGTGCCCGCGCACAGTTTAAAAGGTTACTGGGATGACTGACCTACAGGTCTTTAGCATGTGTCCAGCATATTGGATATGTCTAGTGGAGGTGCTAGGTAAAAGGTCCCCAAACCTGTCATTTTGCAGAAATTAAAATTAAAAATACTTAGGCACTGTAGTTCACAACTGTAATTTCAGCACTTAGGAAGCCGAGGCAGGAGAATTGCTGTACATTTAAGGGTACCGTGGGCTCCATAGTGAGTTCCAGGCAACTTGGATATGCAACCGTCTTGTCCACGGTTGGTGTGAGTGTAAACTGGCAGCTACTGTGGAAATCAGTGAAGAGGCTTTCCACAAAACTAAAAATAGAAGCAGCCTAGGACCTAGTTACCTCTCCTGTGCACATACCCTAAGACTCCACATCTTGCCTATTCATGTTGCTCTCTTTTTACAATAGCAACGAAACAGAATCAGCCTGGATGTCCGTTAACAGATAAACAGATAATGAAAGCACACATTGGAGTTTTATTCAGCTGTAAAGAAAGATCAAATTATGAAACTTTCTGGAAAATGGCTGAATTTGAAAAAGCATAGTAAGTGAGGTAAGCCAGGTTCAGAAATACAAACAGTGTATGTAGCTCCTAACCTCTAATTGTTAAAGAAGCATTAGCAGAAGGAACCATAAAGGAAAGAAGGTGGAAAGTAGCCCATGAGAGTGGAAGAAAGGAGGCTTTAAGGGAACATCGGAGATGACAACAGAACCAAGTGGGGACAAAGGGTACACTGGGGAAAGAGGGTAGGGAGGTGAGGTGAGCGTGAGAGACGCATGAGAATCCCATGTTGAAGGAAACCTGTTGCCTTGTAAGCTAATGAAAAAGTAAGAATACTTGAAGAGGAAAGGGAAAAGTAAAGGCCTATCCTGGGTGGCCGGAAGGGTAAACAGTGAGAAGAGCAGTGTGAGGAGTAGAGATTGCTGGGAGTGTTTGCAGTGAAGTCTCTGCTTCTCCTTTGCCCTGTGCCCTGCGTTTCAGGAAGGAGCTCATCGCTAAGCTGGACCAGGCAGAAAAGGAGAAGCTGGATGCTGCTCAGCTGGTTCGGGAATTTGAGGCCCTGACGGAGGAGAACCGGACGCTGAAGATGGCCCAGTCTCAGTGTGTAGAGCAACTGGAAAAGCTCAGGATCCAGTCTCAGAAGAGGCAGGGGTCGTCCTAACAGCAGTGAGGAAATGTGAGCGGGCGAGATTGGTGACTGCTCTGCACTGGCCAAAAGATTTGCATCTTAAAGGAACAGAGAGTAAAATCTATCCTCTTTACTACTCATATGGCAAGTGCTTCCAGTGAGTTTAGTGCTGCCTCGCTTCTAGCTTGAGAGAGGGATATTTTATTTTAAGCAAGGTCATTAATGCACAGCTCTCACCAGTACATATTTTCAGAGATCTTTTCCAAAGATATATATATATATTTCTTAGTTAGAAAGTTCTGATCATACTATACGTTAGAGTAGAAAATAATAAAAATAGAATATTGACTGGCACCAGTGAAAATCAAGAGCCATAAAATAAGCCAGTCAGATGTTCACTGCAGCTTCACATCTGTGCATTTTAAAATTTTATGCCTTTTCATATTTCAAGTCTGCTCAACTACAAACCATGGAAACGTCTCTGCACATAGCTGTGCTCAGTAGCATCAGATGCAATTTTTCAATGACTGATTGTCCTAAGAACAAACGGTTGCATAGCCTAAATGATTTCTCATGAAAATATTATCGGGTGTGTCCATGCCCAAAGCTCTCGGGCCAGTGCTGACTTGTGTGATAATCAAGGCTGGCTGAGCCTTCTTCACTGCCTGTTGACACCCAGTGGATACGTTTGCCTTGCCTGTGTGTGTGTCTTTGGGATCTGGGCATGGGGAAAGTAGAAAGTTACCATTCAGATACTATTTTGTTGAGTGTCTATGTAAGATCAGGGGGAAGGACATAACTGTTGCAGTGTTTCAGGAGATGCGGTAGATCAGTAAAAACTGACAGGGACGTGCACGTGAATTCATAATTAAAGTGATTTCTCTTTGTTGCAGCTACGGCACTTTCCCACCCGTCCTTGTTCTGTGTCCATTTCTGTTCACGTGAATTCTTTTTCATTAAACATGGATCAAAAGTACAGCCCTGAGTCTGGCTCTGTTCTTAGGCCCTTTGTGCTAGGAGTTGCCCCAGTTAGAATTTCTTCTCCGCAGTATGTACTGAAAAAAAAGTGAAGTCCTTTTTCAGGGAGACACTTGGGCTTCTCATCTAAAGTACTCTCTCAGAGCACTAATAGCGATTATGATGTATCACGATGACCTGAGAGAGAGACGGTATTCCCAGCAAGGCATGGGGTTCCCCGGGGGATATTTGATAGCATCTAGAAACATTTTCTTTCCTTTAAAAGAATATTTGTTATTTGTGTGTTTGTGTTTATGTACATATGTGTGAGTGTGTCACGGTACCCATCTGATTGTCAGAAGACTTCTTGGATCAGTTCTCTCTCTCTCTCTCTCTCTTTTTTTTTTTTTTTTTTTACCTTGTAGACCTCTGATGTTGAGCCCAGGCTTGGAGGCAAGCATCTGCTGAGCCATTTTGCTGGTCTTTTTCTTTTGTTGCCACTATTAGGACACATGGCACTTTTGGTATGACAGCGGAGCCCAAGAAGGATACCACAGACAGGGCAGTTTTCCCTAAAAAGAATCGTCCCATTCAATGACATGTCAACAGGACAAAGAGTGATGTTCCATCATGACGAACCAACCAATGGGGATCATGGGCACAGAATGGGAAGCCAGGGCTGCTTCCTATGTAGTGCAGAGGCTGTGAAGCCTTCCCGTCCTAGAGATGAAGCTTTTCTGCGGGTCTCAAAGTCTTCCACTGCTGTGAAGCCTGACTGACAATTTCTTCTTTATTTTTATTTATTTTTTTAATTAAATTTTAATTTTTTATGTTAATTACAGTTTATTCACTTTGCATTACAGCTGTAGCCCTTTCCCTAATCCCCTCTGAATTCTGCCCTCCCTCCCTCCTTCATCTCCTCCTCTGCCCCTCTCCAAGTCCACTGATAGAGGAGGTCTTCCTCCCCTTCCATCTGACCCTAGCCTATCAGGTCTCATCAGGACTGGCTGCATTGTTCTCCTCTGTGGCCTGATAAGGCTGCTCCCCCATCAGGGGATAGGGAGAAGTCAAAGAGCCAGTCACTGAGTTCATCTGACTGAAAATTTCTGTTGCTTTAATTTTTGAACCAAGGCAAACAAGACAAAACAACCCCCCCCCAAAAAAAAAAACAAATAAAAAACTCTATGATCATGGCTAGACCTTGTCCCTAGTTGTTTGTTTTTCAGTCATCGTGAAGCAACAGAAAGGAGATTCTATTCCCCAGATTTACATGATCTTATGGCTAACACAGCAGCAAGAAACGCTGGTCCTCTGAAGGTGGCCGCGTGCATCTGGAGAACTCAAGCAGTTATGAACTTTTGTAGAGGTGAAGGCAGGAAAACAGCTCCGCTTGGCCAGATGAGCGGTCAAGCAGGTAAAGCTGTTGGGATGTGTATTAGTCAATGTTCTATCACTGTGAAGAGACACCATGACCATGATGACTCTTAAAAAAGAAAAACATTTTATTGCAGCTGGCTTACAGTTCAGAGGTTTATTTCATTGTCATCATGGTGGGAAGCATGGCAGCATACAGGCTGACATGATGCTTGAAAAAAGCTGAGTGTTCTACATCCAGACCAGCAGGCAACAGGAAGAGAGGGACACTGGGCCTGGCTTGAGCATTTGGAACTCCAAAGCCCAGCCCCAGTGATCACTTCCTTCAACAAGGCCACACCTTCTAATCCCTATCGAATAGTGCCACTCCCTGATGACCAAACATCCAAATATATGCACCTCTGAGGGCCATTCCAATTCAAACCAGCACAGGATGTCGCTGGGTTTGTGGCCCTTGAACAGAACATTTACCCAGGGTTTCCAAAATATGCCTATTTGTCCTCAGAAGGAAACTTTGCCCTGAGTGTGTTTTCAGCAGATTCTGATTTATTAAAACATTAAATATCATCTATTTTACTGCAAGACAGAGAAACCTAAAGGCAGAACTTGTCATTCATTTGACAACTTCCCACAACCCTTTTTTACCAAAAGCATATTATTTATCTACCGCAGATCACTAAGAATGTGACACCTTCACATTATAAAACCATGGTGCAGTACTTGCTTTGTACTGAGTGAGAACCTAGGGACAATTCTCAACAAGACACACACACACACACAAATAGAATTAAAGCATTCTTAATATAGCGATATTGTTAATATAATAGAATGTTAAAAAAAAATCAACACAGTGGTCTTAGCATTAGTGTGAAGATGCTTGCCTTAGAGCTAGAAGTAAAGAATAATGAAAATCTCATTATATTTTGCAATTGCTCTACTAAAAGATCTGCTATTTGTAGGCCATTTAGTTTGTGTAGACACAAAAAAGAATGTGATCAAGTATGGCTAGCGGCCAAATCTATTGGAACCAGCAGAGCTTGTTTTTCTAAGTCACAGAGGGCTTGGGTGCATTATCAATTCAGTACAAACAAGGAACAGAATAGACTTGAAATTCAAACACAATCCAGCCCCAGATCTATTACACACTTAACAAATGCAGCAGCAACAGGGACTGCAAATGCAAATGGCCACAGAATTAGGGATGAGTAGTCTGGTTACAGTGTGCTGACTACATGAAAGAGAGAGGGGTCCAGGAAGGAACTGAAGGAGGCTCATAGGAATGTGCAGGGTTCTTGGAGTAGTAGCCATGGAAACTCACAATCAGGTGGCATGGGTGGGAAGCACACATACTAAACAGACCACATAAGTCGTTTAAACGCAAAAGGAGAAAAGCAAGATTCAATAGGCCCCTTTTGGGTCAGACTCTATTGGGTGCTATATGTACAGGTGTTCTTGGAGAACTTTTGCAGTTACAGTATGCTATCCATTCCTCATCGGAGCCACCTTTGAAATAACTCTAAATCAGCACACAAAATAATGGACTCTAATATGATATCTTCATATAAACTAGATGAAGAAGCATTATATTCTGCTTGTGTGTATTACTTTCCTATTGTGCATCCTCATTCCTCCTTCTCCCCTCAGGCTGGCTTGGTCTCCTTCCTACCTATAGACAACTCCTCCCGTCCCGTTATGTTTTCATGTTAGGAAACAATACCTCCCACACATATTATATAGCTGTGTTTCTAAATAACTAAGTATAGATTCTGTAATGAAGAGAAAATATGTATTCTGTCCTTTCTCCTCTAACTACTCTCCTTTGCTTTCCCTCTCCTTTAGACAACCTCCCTTATAGTCCCTTTGTGTTTTATGCTATATTCATATAGACTATATCTGCCATGTAATATGCATCATGTCATTTGCTTATACCTTATACTAATTTCTACCTTATACTAATTTCTCAAAACTAGAAAATTTAGGTTCTACAGTTTATACAAACTTCTCTAGATCTTGGGTTTAGGGCTGGGGATCTGATGCTTGTATTTGGATGCTGCTAACTTACCCTCATGCTCTGGTTACTGCCTATATACACCTATCCTTGTGTAAACCTACCTCTTGGCTGATTAAATGGTCTATACCTAGACAGGGCAGAATGGGGTAGGCATAGCTAAGGTTTCCAGGCTTTGGGAAAGAGGACAATCATAGGAGGAAGAGAGATGGATGGGAGGAGAGACAGGAGGATGCCATGATGGGTTGGCATGGACAAGGCACCATGTGAGCCAGGAGGAAGGACTCAAGGATAGCATGGATGGAGAAAACACTAAGATTAAATATAAGCCAGTATCTTGGGATTATGGATGGAAGATAGACCAGATGAGGGTGGTTAAGGTGGGTGGCATTGGGGAGGCTGGGATGTAGATGGTGAGATCACTGAGACAGTGTAGGTAGAATATCTGCCCAGCCCAAGGTGTTTTTAAGACAATTATAAAATCCAACAGGTGTCTGTGTCTTATTTGATTGTAGTAGTGGTTTAAATAATACCACCACATAACCATGGGGCAAATAATAAATAATATATAGCCTAATGCCCCTTTAATTTACTATAACAATTTAGTAACAAAGATACTACCTCCACTCCCACTCCCACCTCCCCCAACCACCCCATCTCTCTGTCCTTACCTCCAATACCCCCCTCTTTTCTTCTGTCCATTTAACATTACTGCATGTC